ACCGGAGGATAACCAGTTCCTGCCATGCCAGAACTTGGTGCATACGGAGTGGCACCATATGCTTGTTGATTATAAGGTGGATAACCTCCAGGACCATATCCACCACTTTGTCCATAAGAAGAATGTCCTCCTTGATTGTACGGATTGCTGGGACCTCCGAATCCTCCTTGATTGTGCGGATTGTTAGGACCTCCGAATCCTCCTTGACTGTACGGATTGCTAGGACCTCCAAATCCTCCTTGATTGTATGGATTGTTAGGACCTCCAAATCCACCTTGATTACCGCTGTATGGTGTTGACATATTTTGTTGATAACCACTAAAATAGAATGAAATTTATAATCATAGACTATGTAAACTTTTTTCATATCGATTTATTAGCGTTATTTTAATTTCTAAGTCTTCTATATGAAACCTTGAAAAATACATCTCTTTGTAATGTTAAATTTAATTAATTTTATTTAGCTCTTAATTAGCATTTAATCTTACCCAGCCATTCCATATGCACCTCCATATGGTGGTTGTTGTGGATATTGAGCACCACTTCCTCCACCTGATTGAGAATATTGCTGATTAGGATACATAAATCGTATTTCTACCTTCTTGTCTACTGTCGTATATTGAATGAAAAAAGTTTGTAAATGTAACAATGGCATGCTGTCATACCCTATATGAGTCATACTTTTTTATCAGATTGTAACGTCATTTATGCACTTGATCTATAGTTTCGGGCCGATGATTCCTATACTACAATTTAGGCATCAAAAAATTCTACATGTAATTTACAATCGAATGATATACTTCTGATTAGGGGGCGATTTCTCTAAATTTGATTTCTAGACCGAAACATTTTGCTTGTGGAGCCCTCTTTAATTTTCGTCATAATGGTGATTTGACATATGCAGAATGAAAGCTTATGTCGAAGCTGTCAAATATTTTGACAATTTTTTTCTTCATCTATTAGTTTTCAATATTTATTTTTTGTAAATGATATTGTTATCTTGTTGAATTTCTTTCAGATTTCTCTATTACAACTCGGTGCAATAATGCCATTCACATGTGCTTTATGTTGTCGAACCAAAAAAATGAAAAAAACTGAATTTACAACAGTAATTAGTGTTGATGTGATTTAATTGATGATGATTCAATTTGTGGTGAAAAATTTCGATCAATAAAGACAGATGATTTAAGAGAATGTTGTTGAAAATCAAGAACATCACTAGTATTAGATGCTTTATTACTCTAAATAACGTATTAAATATTTATTTTATTTTATTTTAATATCGAACATTTCACTTACACGATAAATTTTTGAATACACATGATTATCATTTGATGCTGAATCAAGATTTTCCACAGTTGTTGGTGATGATTCACCTGTATTAACGATTTCGATCAAGTCAGGTGAGTTAAGAACATCTTCTTGCAAATCAATAACATCACCAGCATAATATGGTGTTTTACTCTAAAAGAATGTATTAGATGATTATTCTATGCTATTGTTTGCACAAATCATCGAATACTAATTTTTTGTAAAGGAATACTTACATAAGAGATTGTCGAATAGATATTGTTATTATGTGATGGTGAATTAAGAAAATCTTCTAAATTAATAACATCACCCGCACTATACAATTTTTCACTCTAAAACAACGTATTCAATGATTATTATATGCTATTGTGTGCACAAATAATTAGATATTCATTTTTTTACAGTGAACATTTTACTTACATGAGAAATAGTCGAATGCATGTTGTTATCAAGTGATGGTGAATCAAGATTTTCTACCGTTGCTTGTGGTAATAATGATGATGATAACGGCAACTATGATGAAGCTACAGAAGATGATTTTCGAATGGAAAATCAAATATATATTGATTGTGAAGATAATGATGAGGATGATGAAGATGAAAGTGCACTTGAATTTATAAATGAAAATGAAGTAAGTATCAACTTTATTATTGTTCTCTATCCATCGTTATTTTATTTTTATTTAATTAGAGTGATAAAAGTGATTATTCAAATAATGATGAAACTCAATCAATTGTTATGGATATGTCTATTTATATGGAACACAGTTATTGTTGTCGATCAAAATCGTGTTCATCGAATAATTACAATACTGCAACGAAAAATGTAACATCATCACCATTACATTCACCATATGCATCAAGTTCATTCGATAATTCACTGTCACCAATTGTTCCAAATACAAATGTACAAGTAATAAATAATTTTTCTAAGATAACGAGAAGTGACGGTTGTAAATGAAAAAATTTACGATGATTTTTTTTCAATTTAGAACCTGAATAAAACAAGAACATCTACACGATCAACCAAACGAAAACCAGTAAAAACGGATTTTAATATAAATTCACCTTCACAAAGTACACCAAGTCAGGTTAGATTGGTCTTAAACGGTTTTATGATTGAATCTCACTATAAATTTTTTTATTTAGATTATTCCACGTAAAAAAAATCGTGATATACCAGTATTCTGATCTTTTTTATAAGATCAAAAATTTATTTTATTTTATTTTTGTTTTTTCATGTCTAATTATTTTTCTACTTTTCCTTTCATTGACAGATATTTTTTATATCATTTATGTTTTTATGTTTTAAATTTTTTTTCGTACAAAAATAAAATATTTGTTCATTTAATGAACGCTAAAAAGAACATCATAAATAGTCGCAACTAAGTACTTAGAAATCAGATCTCTCTCTATTCATGTTACTTCTTAATATTGAATTTGGATAGAAATGGTATTTGGAGGTTTATTCGTGAGATCAATATTTTATCAACAATGGTAGATTCAAATTATAAGTAGAATGTAGCCATTCTTGTATAGCCATATATTAACATGTTCATCTCTGCAGAAACACCCTCTCTGTTGACGCTTTATTTATAAAATGAGAGTTGCCCCTAATAAGCATATTATAAAAATGTTCTTTTTTCAGTTCTAGAGTATATTATATGAAAATCTTTTGAATTTATTCATAGGCCCCAAATAAATATAGGTGTCACTGGTGAGAAGTGCATCTGCTATTAATTGGAAGAAAGAAACATCTTTTAACCCCCTTGACAGTACACCATCAGAATGCAGAGAGAAATCACAGGAAACAAGTGTTCTTTATTCTTTTTACCTTTGAGTTTTTATTTTACTTTGTATTTTATTTGTATGGTTGTATTAAATTTCAAAATAAATATTCAACATGACTCGAGGTGAAATTTCATCATCGTCAACCACATTAAACTCCGCAAAAATTAAAGTACTACTTAAAGACAAAACAAATAAATGAAGGGTTATAAAAAATGAATCGTCAACACCGTTAGTAGATTGATGGGAAACCTTTGGTTATCCAGAAGAATTAGATGAAAATGGTGTATTTCAAAGGATCTCAGGATACGTTAGTTGTTTCCATTGTTATAGTACATTTATTTATGGTAATAATAGTGGAACAACACGTTTAAAACAACATTCAGTCAAATGTTCCAAAACAACATGTTCTTCTTCAATAATGATTGAATGCAGCGATTCGTCATCACGACAATCAACTTTAGCACAACGCAGATTCAAAAAATCTGTTAAAATAAATGAAAAAGATATAGATAATATAAAGAAATTATCTGCACAATGAAAATGTCAAGATCTTCGTCCTTTTTGTACGTTACAAGATGTTGGGTTTCGTGCCTTAGCACAAAAGTTAGTTAATATCGGTATGTTTATTTTTATTTTCAATTGTCAAGAATCTAATTAATTTTTTATTTTATCAGGACATAAGTATGGTGTTGTTGACATCGATGAAATCGATAGAAGTCGTTTTACAACTGCACGAATAATCTATGATTTAGCTGGGTCATACAAACAACATGTGAAGCAAGTACTTATTGAGCCATTGAAAGCACATGCTGTTACTATTTGTCCCCACTTCCCAGTCAGACAACCATTTAAAAACACGACTTTTTTACGCGTTAAAACGATTTTCCATGGTAGAAAACGCGCTTTAACGCTTTAAAATGTGCGTTTTTAACGCGTAAAAACGTCGTTTTTTTAAACGCTTGTCTGACTGGATTCTGGTCAGACTGCTACAAAAATATTTCTTATTTGGGTTTAAATATTACATTCGTTGATGCAAATCATAAAATGTTTTCGATTGATTTGTTCTGTCGCCCATATTTTAGTGCTGAAACAAGTGCTTCAGTTATTAAAGTAACTCATTATCCTGAGGAGTAAATAGATCGATATTAGAAGCTTTTTTTGTGGTATGAACGAGTAACAGAATATTTACATTTGGTACTTGACCTTTTATTGAACAATTGAGTCAAAAATTCCTAATAGCTACACATCAATGACTACGTGATGGTAGATTTAATTCGCAATAAAAATAACTGTACGATATATCTCGAAAGTTTTGTTTTAAAAAGCCTTAGTGTAGAATCATTCATTTAATAACGATTTCTTTTAATAATTACTTTCATTTAGACTCTTCAAGAACATTTAATTGAATTTTGTATTAATGATTTGGCTTTAGTCAATATTGTATCAGATCGAGGCTCAAATTTCGTTGCTGCATTTCGTGATTTTCAACCGTTGTTTTGTTTTGTTTTGCACATCGTCTTAATAATATAATGAAAACGTCATTCTTTGGAAATACCATCAGGAAAAAGAAACCAATATTAAATGCACCAACAATAGTTAATAACAATTTCGCAAATGGTTACACAACAAAAAACAAGAAACTGATATATTATCAATTGAGAATGACGTTTCCACAAGTGAACAGTCATCCGAAGATGAGGACGATTATTTGTTACCATCTATTCCAACGAAGCACAAATACCGGATAAATAATATTGGTTCATCGAATAATGATATTAACCCTTTGGCTCCCGGCTTTTTTTTTGAGTAAATAAAACTTTTTAAAAGAAATGTTTAAATATGATTTTTGTCACAAAGAAATTTCATTTCTGTTCTAAAAAACATTAACAGTTCGTCTTTGTATAATAGTCTTTGAAGAAATCAATAATGCATTGCGGTACATTACAGTCAGAACACACATATCATATAACGCGTCGAAGATTATGGAATGAGCACACCACGCATTTTCGTCTGGGTTGTTCTAGTTACAATGTTTGTGGAATGAAGGAAGGGAAATGTCGAGCAGCTAAACGGAGAGGAGAAGGCCTTGTCGATGGTCTTCCAATAGTAGTTGGCCTTTGTGGTCCGAACTTTGTTAAAACTTCTCTGATCAGATTGAACCGAAAATCAGACAAGTGGCGCGAAATATGATTCTGAAAGAAAGAAGAAATATACCATTATGGCACCATTTAGTAATCGCTACGAAGCTTTTCTAAACAGTTAAAACATATACTACTGCGGCCTTTACCCGATAAATACACTTGGACATGTGCATGTGGCACCGAGAGCGAAAGGATTAATATCAAATGAGACATATATTGTTAATCATTTACACCCCACAACAGTTTCAGAAGAGCCACCAATAAAATAACTATATGAATAGAGTAATAGCATGCCTAGTATGACAATTATGTGATTTGAATCACGGAGTGTCTACCTTTTTGTGTAGAGCTATTTAATTGGTTGGCTAACCGTGTAATGGAGTAAGGGGATAAACGATACACTAAGCGTTGATATTTTTCCTTTGACTACATTATCCCAGCCCAGGTCAATGATTCCGGACAACAGATCCTGCAGGAACCGGCAGGAAAATGCGGGAAAATTCACCGTATCCTGCAGGAAAACACCGGAAGTCGCCGGAACTGGGTGGCAGTATTCCGGCCGGAAATTCTCCGTATTTTTTCCGGTGACTTCCGGTCAACTTCCTCCCGTTTCCT